ATAGTATATGGTATATATAAACTATATATTATATAGTTCATTAGTATATATAAACTATATAGTATATATAAACTATATATTAAAAAGTTCATTAGTATATATAACCTATATATTAATTTATTAATATAAACATATATATTAATTGAAAGAATTGGAAAATATGTAAGGATCAAATTGAACAGATTTTAAATATGAAGCTTAAATTAATAAACTCTAATATTAAATTTGGACTAAATTGAAAAAAAAGTTGAAATATGAAGCTTAAATTAATATATTGCATCATTAAATTTGGACTAAATTGAACAAATTTAAAACTAGGAGACCACACTACAATGCCAAACGAAGTTAAAAACACGCGGGTCAAAACCCAAACCCGAAACCCAAACGAACTTGTATAAATGACATTTTTTTTCATTTTCACCATTTTCCTATCTTTTTTCTCAGTTTGTTATTTTGCTCTATCTCTCTAACTCTCCGATTATCTCAAAATCCTCTGCCTTCTTTCTAGAAATTCATCCGTGTTCTTCATTTGTTCATCCCAGTTCTTCCCCAAAACCCTCATTTGATCTTCAAAAACACAAAAACCTACACAATTTCGTGTTTTTTCGATCAAACACACAAATATTCATCAGTGTTCATCCGTGTTCTTCATTTTTCCATCCCAGTTCTTCCCCAAAACCCTCATTTTATCTTCAAAAACACCGAAACACAAACTATTTCATGTTTTTTTTCGATCAAACACTCAAATATTCATTCGTGTTCATCCTTGTTCATCCAATTCTTCCCTAAAACCCTTCTTTGATCTTTGAAAACACCGAAACCCAAATCATTTCGTGTTTTTTTCAATCAAACACCCACAAATTCATCCATTGTTCATCCGTGTTCTTTCCCAAATCCTTACAAACACCCAAAACTTAAAACAAACTTGGTTGTTTGGATCAAACACCGAAACCCAAACTGTTTATCTTTTCTAACACTAACCTTAAACCACTATTCATCTTCTCTAATCCTTAACTCGAACCCTAACCCTAACCCAAACCAAACCCAAACTGAACCCAAACCCAAACCCAACCCAAACCCAAACAAAACCCAAACCCAAACCCAAACCTATACCCGAACCCAAACTATTCGAAACATTTAGTTTTTCCTACAGTTTCATGGATAGTTTGTCGTATGAGTTGAATTACTCAGGTATTTCTCATTTTTTTTTCATTTTTTATTTTTATTTTAATATTCGAATTAATATAACCTTTATTTGTTTTGTAGGTCTAAACCCAACAGATCAGAATGATTATCATTCTGAAAGAGGTAAACTGCTCATTCATTTCTTTGTATATGCTTGATATATATATATATATATATATATATATATATATATATATATATATATATATATATATATATATATATATATATATATATATATATATATATATATATATATATATATATATATATATATATATATATATATATATACTGGCATAAATCTGTTGATGTAAATGATATACTATCAGAAGCATTTAATGTAAACTAATCATGGTTTTTTTTTGCAAGGGGATGTAAATGATATATTGTCTGAAGCAATTGATTTAAATAAATCCTCTAAGAGGAAGTCCACTGGTTCATCCGATTTTGGGAGAAGAACCTCTCCTGTTTGGGACCACTACACATTCACCAAATCTGATGATGGTTCTGTCTATGCCGAGTGTAAGTAATGCAAAGTGAAAAGGTATAAAGTTGATTCTTATATTGGTACATCTAACCCTAAAAGGCATATTGAGAAATGCCAAGCATATAAGGATTTTATTGCTGAAAATCCTGGTAGTGTAGCTTCTTTTGATAAAAACAAATGCTTTTCATGCTCCAACATGCAATATTTAGTAACATGCATATAGTATTGTTGAGCATGAAAAACTTAGGGATTTACATCATTACCTTAATTCTTCTGTTAAGGATATATCTATGTATACTGTTACTAAGTATTGCATGTTGGAGCATGAAAAGCATAAGAAATTGCTCCTTGATTCAATGTATAATGTTTCAAGTCGTGTTTGTTTTACATGTGATGGTTGGTCTTCTTGCACTTCACGTTCTTATTTTGCTCTTATTGCTCATTATGTTGATAATAACTTGAAACTTCAATATAAAATTCTTAATTTTCATCGTTTTCCTCCTCCTCATGATGGGAAGTCAATATTTAAGTTTGTTAAAAAGATGATATGTGAGTGGGATCTTGAAAAAAAACATTTATCATTACACTTGATAATGCTTCTGCAAATGATAAAATGGTCAAGAGACTAAAAGATGATTTGAATGTCATTTCTCCTCTTCCAGGCAATGGTAAGTACTTCCATGTAAGATGTGATGCCCATATTTTGAACTTGATAGTTCAAAAAGATTTGAAGGTAATTGATTCTTCAATTAATAAATTGTGTGAGATTGTTAAGTTTATTGATTCTTCTGATTCTCGACTTTGTGCATTTGAATTAGCTATTAAAGAATGTGATACTTCTTTCTCTGGTAAGTTAGTATTGGATGTTCCTACTCGATGGAATTCTACTTACTTGATGGTTCATAGGGAACTTGAGGCTAGATTAGTAATTAACTTGTTTGTTAATAGGGAAAATGAGTTAGATTTCATTACTGATCATGAATGGGAAATTGTTCAAACAATCTGTGATTTTCTTGAGCATTTTTATGAAATTACTACTCTATTCTCTGGTTCTAAGTATCCAACTTCTAACTTGTATTTGGCTAATGTTTTTGCAATTGAAAAATTATTGTGTGATGCTCATAATGATCCATGTGAAGGTATTTTTGCAATGGCTAAACCCATGCTTGAACTATTTGAGAAATATTGGTCTGATGACTTAATGATTCTGTCTTTTGCTGTTTTACTTGATCCTCAATATAAATTACAACTTCTGAAAGAGGTGTACAATGTTTTTTATGTTGAGGATGAGGTTCAAAGGAGGGTAATTCTCATTTATAATGAGTTTCTTGAGTTATATGTATTTTATTCAAAAAAAATGCACATTGTGGTTCTTACTCTTCTTCTTCTGTCCAAAGAAACAAATCCTTAGGCAGAAGTGAGTCAAGTTCCAATCGGCCTCGAGCTTTTAGAAAATCAAATCTATTTCAGGTTAGTAATTACAATTTTAAGTTGAATTTTATCTTATTTATTTCTTGTTTTCATTTACTAATTTTTGTCTTTTATTTTTTAGACTTTTGATGCTAATTTAGCTGCTTCAAGGAGTGGACGATCTGATGCTGATTCTTACATCAGTTTTCCTCTTGTCCCTCATACTGGAGAAACTGAATTTGATATTTTAGATTATTGGAAAAATCAAAGTATTTCACATCCGGTACTTTCTCGCATGGCGAAAGATATATTGGCTATTCCAATTACTTCAGTTGCATCCGAATCGTCCTTTAATATGGGAGGTCGAATTTTGAACAAATTAAGAGCTAAACTCTTACCTAAAAATGTTGAGATTTTTGTAACAACCCGTAATTGGTTGTATGGTTTTGAGTCGGAGGATAAGGACGAAGAATACCTTTATGTGGTTAACGAGTCTTCATTGTAAAGGTAATCCAAATTGTTTTTTTATGTTAATGTAATTAATATTTCAAATTGTTTATTAATTATTTTAATTTTTCTTTGTAATTTTTAGGGTGTTTAATGGTCCCTGAAATTATTCGAATTGGAGATTCTATCTTCTTTTTTCCCTTCAAAGGTAACTTAATATTTTATATTTATTATGTTTATTTAATAAAAGTTTCAAATAGTTCATTAATAATTCTTTTTTTTGTAGGGTGCCTTACAAGATGCAATACTTGGTGCTTGATTCTGCTTGATTCTGTTTTATATTGTTTTCTTCTGTTTGCTTCTGTTTGCTTCTGTTTGCTTCTGTTTGATATTGTTTGCTTCTACTTGATATTTGTAAGGGTTTGGTAAAGTCGGAAATGTTTGACACTGTTGGCCATCGAATTCCCTTTGGCTTTACCACTGATTGTATGCTTTCTTAATGCATGATGCTTACTGAATCGATGCAACGATCCTTGATGAATTGGTACATTGATGCTTTTCGGTTGCTGTTGTCTATTACTCACTGATGCCTTGTAAATTATTGTTGTTGGTCTGACTTAAATCAATTATTGAACCTTATAAATTCTTATCTAAATAGTTACTCATGTGGAATCATTTTGGCTTTTAAAGCTAAAAAGTTACTCATAATTAAACATGTTGACAACATTTAGGTATAAAAGCTTGATTATGATATTTCTGGTAGTATAGTTAGACTTTTTAGCCTTGTAAACATTAACTAAAAAATCTGAGAACATTTATTTCAACATAAATTTATTTTGTTTAGTTGATTTTATTGTAATTTTAGTATTTTCAAGTGTAATAAAATTACCTTCATTTATAAATTTTTGTTTTAGTATTTGTAATGTTATTCAAATTTTTAATCTTTAATGAGTCTATCATTTCAACTAATATATTTTGATTTTAAAATTTCAAGTTAGGTTTACTTAAATTATTAACCAATTTTCACATTAAAAGTAAATTATATTTATAAATATTTTAACTCAATTAACATAATTTAATAAAATCAAGTTCAATAAGATAATATTTAAATTTAATTTAGTGATTATAAATAAAATTTATAATATAACAAATATAAAGAATGTCATGAATTGGAATTAACATAAAAACTAAATTTATAATATACAAATTATAATTAATATAAAAATTAAATTTCAAAAAGTAATCATATTAATTTAATTATCATAAATTTATTATAAATTTAAAATAATATAATTATTTTAATTGTAACTTTACTTATAAGTCAGGATAATATCATATCACTTTAACAACATGTCGAATCATTTACAGGTTAAGTCTATTGCAGGTTAGATTCATAACATTTCAGGTTGAAAACAAATTGAATAATACCAATTATTTACCATGTCAATCTCGTGTTCGAGTTCATATCAGGCCAAAAACAATTTCATCTTAAATCAATTTCAGTTAATTTTACAAGTCGAATCAGCTTTTTACCCCATATAAGTATAATAAATGGCATAGATTCGTACCAAGGGTAAAATTAGGGTTCCAGGCACTAATGACGTCCACGTAGCCAAGTTATGGTCGTTAGATCTGGATCTGTGATCTAACGGCCAAGGTGAATCCAACAACTCCCAAAGCCGCACGTATAGCTCACTCGAAGCCACCAATCTCCTCACCTGTTTTTTTCGTTAAACAAAAATGCCTAAACGTCATGGATGTTTCCACGTCAATGGTTCGTTAGACAACAACACATGATTTCTCCACCAAGCCTCTACCCATGCTCAACCAGTGTGGTCCCAGAAATCATCGCAGCCTGAAGGAGCAGTCTGCCAGGGGGATGGACAAATCTCCTCTGCTATGCAGAGACCTCTCCTCATAAGCCAATGTCAGGAAAGCAACATGGAGAGAGAATAGGCACCGAATTTGTTTGTTACAAACCCAAAAGGACACCAAGCAGCTTTGAACCCTAGGATCTTCCATGCAAACATGATCAGAGGACTTACATGAATAAAAAAAAGGAACAAAATTAAAAAAAGGAGCTTTTTAATTTTAAGAAAATGAGGCGGTTATAAAAGAGAGATCTTTTTTGGGGATCATTCATCAACAAAAAACAAGGGAACACCGATTAAAAAAACGAAAAGGAGAGAAACACATAAAAATGAAAAAAGAAAAAAGAGAGAGAGTTTACCCTTCGGGAACGAGTGGCCGTCGATGTTTCGCCTGAGTCAGGAGAGTCGTCTGAGCACCAAAGGTAATCCCTTTTCTTTTTGGGTTCTCGTTTGGTTGAGAGTGGGTGTTAAAAAGGAATAGTTTTGAGGGTTAGGGTCTTGGTTTGGTTCGATTCAGGAGGCAAGTTGGGTTAGGGACTCTAAATTGGGCTTAAGGAGACCGTTTGGGGTAGAAAAGCCGCTCATCGGAACGGTTGAAGAGCGGTGGCCAAAGTGGCCACTGGCTTTTGGGTTCCTCGTCAAAAAGAGGGAGAGAAGATTTTGAGAGAGTGCGGCGGGAGGATAGTAAAATGGAGATCTATGGTTTCTAAACCCTGAAAAATGGTTTCTAACCACTCCTTGAAATGGCGCCGTTTTAAGCACTTTGGGACCTGTGTTTTCTGGTTAAGGGGCTAGTCATGCGTTGAGTCCTTGTAATCTTGTACTTTTATAGTTTGGTCATTAAATGAAATGGTAGTTTTATGATTTTGAGTCCCCTATTTGTATCGTAATGCATTTTAGTCCTCGATTTGAGGCTTTTTCGAGTTTCATATTTTGGCTTCTAATTTCTCGCGCACCACGTTTTGGTCCTCTTTACATGTCTATTTCAACTTTTATGTTTTTGCACATTTGTGATGTTATCTTAAAATTGTACATTTTTAATCCAAGTTGATATATGGATTTATTTTTTATATATTTTGTATGGGGAATCTATGGAAAAATCTCTCGAACACAAGGGAAGGATTTTTCGAAGATTATTCATATAGTAAGATCATGATTTAAATATTAATTTAAATTTAAAATTCTTAAATATAAAAAACAATGTATAATCAATTTGGTATCAATTTTGGGCGTTGTGGGGGGTGCTCACCCTTCCTCACGAGTAATCGACTCTCGAACCCCGTTTTAAAATGAGTTTCTGGTTCAACGTAGACTGGTTTCTTTTTTATCTTTTAATTTAATTTTTTTAAATTATTTTAAAAGGTAAATTTGTTTAGGTATTCGACCTACTTAACCCAAAAGTCGATGGCGATTCCAAATTTATTTTCCTAAACCCTTGTTTTAAAATTAAGTTGGTTCGATCCCATTATAGCCCCAAAAACTTAAGGGTTGTTCCGACAATAGTCTTATAATTATAGAGTAATGCTTTGCTTTGTCACTCAACTATGTTTCAAACTCATCATTTTCAGTTAAAATTAACGGTTTTCTTAGTTGGATGTTAACCCACTGACTGTAATATGATAAAATATGATCCTAAAACCGATTGTATTATGTAATCCTTTGAGATTTTGGGAACATATTTTTATCATATCCTGCCCATTAGATTAACGTCCAGCTCAAAGATAGTCAAATTTTCAACCATAAAGGATGAGTTTGAAACATATGAACAGTCGAATAATTATTTTATAACTTTTAATAGTCAGAAGACTCAACATCTTAGATCGCCATTGACCTTTAACTAAAATCTCGTGTTACCTGTTGATCTGTGCCATTTATTGAATTCTCTTATCTACTTCGTGTGCCAATCTAGATTGTTTAGGAACGAGTTTGGATACACGAATGATACATATGAAAGCTTTTGCGATTCTTCAAAGTATATAAAAGAAAATATTAAAAATCACAATGAAAAGAACACTTAAAAATGTTAAAAGGCCTCTACTCAAATGCATCATCGTTGTAATAAAGGAGGAGTCCAACATCAAGTTGTTGTTAACTACGGTTCTAAATTTTTTAGGGTAAGTACACATACATTAATAATATAATTTTTTTGGATAGAATAAGAACAAATAAAATTTTAAGATTATAACAATTAATAAAATAAGTAATTAATCGAAAAAAAATTCATTTTCATACCCACATGCTAAAAGTGGATCAATCACTCGCATTTTGTGATGTATATTAAAGTTTAATTACAGTTTTAAAACAACCTCCTCCAATTCATAGAGAGATGGGAACGTGAAAGAATAGCTCGAGAAGAATATTGGAGAATTCAAGAACAGACGCAAATCGAAAGGGAACACGACATTTTAGTGTATGAACCGTCAATGACAGTAAAAAAAAATAAAAGAAAACTCAAATGGCCGGTTAAAATAACTATCACATATGGTCAAAGGGTAACAAATAAACTTGTTTATCAATTCACATCAACATTTAATTAACCTAATAACGATTATTTATGTAGTTTATCTTTTATTTTATTTGAATCTCTTTAAAAATATTTATGTATATAAATTAATTGTTCAATAAAAAATTAAAATTATTAGTATATCAATGAACATTACATCAAAATAGGTTTTTACCAGCGTTTTTCAGTAATACAACGGCATTTTTAAGCGTGGCTAAAAACCCTTGTGGCAAAAAAACGCCGCCAAAAGCGCAGCTAAAACCAATACCGCAAAAGGTAACAGCGTTTTTGTCTACAAACGACGCTAAAGGTTATGAGTTTTAGCGGCTTTGTTTCCATAAACGCCACTAAAGGTTATGATATTTAGCAGTGTTGTTGAAAAATGCCGCTATATATCTTTTTCTTTTGTGGCGTTTGTGAAAATCTGCCACTAAATGTTATGACATATAGTTTCGTTTGTTCCCAAAAGCGCCGGTAAAGGTTATGACATATAGCGGCATTTGTAAATTAAAACGTCGCTATTGATTATGTCTATAGTGGCGTTTTTTGTAGACACGCCGCAAATGATCTAGAACTTTAGTGGTATTTTTTTCTAAAATACTGGTATTGATTATGTATTTAGTGGTGTTTGTTATACAAACGCCGCAAATTAACACATATTGTGCCAACGGTGTTTCCCGCTCTTCTGTTACCCAAATTTAAATTTTTAACCTGTAACATTATCCAATAAACATGACATCCATAACAACAAACTTTAAATCCATAACAATCAACTTTAAATCCATTATAATAAATCAAACTTTACATTAACATAAAATATAATGTAGTTCAACAATATTAACTAGAATGAACAAAGCATATATCTAAAATAAGACCTAAGATGGTGGACTCTGAGATTGATTTTTTTCGTATCATCTGCATCATAGCTTCAAGTCGATTTTCAAATTCTTGACATTTTTCTGATAGGCTGCTTCTCTCTCTGCTTCCCTCACTTCATTTTCGGCTTTCATGTTAGCCATTTTTTGATCTATTTCAGCCAACTTTTATTTTAAAAGACTAACTTCTAATTAGGAAGACTGACTCTATGATGACATGTACTGAGATGAACTGGATCCAAAATATTTGGTGGGAGTAATGAATGATCCTTGACAGCGACCCGGCCATATCTTTCAGGACCCAAAACTTCATTAATAACTTGATTTTCGATGTCATCCGCATTAACAATATCATGACTTGAAGCCGTAGCTTCATACTCCGCCCTTTTATCCCTCAATTTTTCCTAATAATCAATTCAATAATTATTTTAAATAAGAATGTCATACTATAGATATAAATATAACATAATTCAAATCCTATGTCCAATAAATGTACCATAATTTCTGCAGCTTCATCAGTCATAGGAGTGCCATCCTTTTTTGTATGTGTCATTTCGAAGAGCTTTATTCGTCCAACTTTACAACCAGTCATATTTTCCTATAATGTAGAATAAAAATTAAGTATTGAAAAAATTAATTAATAATATAATTAATTTTTGTTAGTATGTGCTATCAACTGTAAATCACTATGTGAATAATCAATAATACCTTATCATTAGCTATACAAGCAAAGCTCTTCAATCCAACTGTGTGAGTAAACTTTTGTTGTTGTCTGCTAGCATCATCAACATGCACTCGATCCTACAATTTGAATTATTTACTTATAAAGTTAATATTATAATGACATTATATTATTTTTGAAAAATACATCATACTTGTCATTTCTTTGAACTCCAAAACATAACTGCATCTTCCCATTGGTACTTGAGCATTCTAGATGGGACAATTTGTAGCTTCTCTTTAAGGATGAGATCATTATTGAAGTATTTCTTTTTTAATGAACTCTTGTGGTCTCTGCATCTCTTCCCTAATGCTTGCTTCAAATAATCATCTGAGACCTCTAAAGAAAATTTCTGCTACAAATAACATAAGTGTTTAAAGTAAGTATAAATTACTATTGAACTGTTATGGATTATCTATTATAATGACATTATTACCTTAACAAAATCCAAAGCATGATTTTTGTTACTATTTGGAATTTCACGCCATGAATTATAATTGATCGGTAAAATATTAACATTACGTGCAACCATGCCTAAGAAACCGGATAGAAGACGTGATTCTGGGCCAATAGGTTGACTGACATCGTTTCTTGAAACTTTCACACGGTGTCTAGAAGGAAGTTGGTATAATTCCTTCAACGTTGTACGTCCTCTAGTCTTGCGTGATCGAGCATTTTCAACTATATAAGAAATAATTAAATGTAAGTTTTCAAAATGAACCAACAATTAAAGAAAGTGTCGAACATTACCTTCAATTTCTACAGCCACTTTAACAGTAATAGGAACTTCCGAAGACTCAACAACAATCGATTCCTCATTATTTGTTTGTTCATCCTCTTAAGGAGCTCGAACAATCTGCAAATCACTTAATTTTCTCCTGGGCATGATGTCATACCCCAAATAATAGGTCAGTGATTAAAATAAAAGAAATTAAAAATTAGAGGACTAAATTTATTAATTGATAAAGATGAGATTGAGTTGGGAATAGTAGTTTAGATTAAATTATAGTGATATAGGATTAAAAAAGGCATTTTTTGGTATTTGGAATAAAATAAATTTAAAATTCATTCTTTATGGTATATTATGTAGAGAAATAAGGAAAAAGGGGAAAAAGCAAGGTCAACACACTATTCTTCTTTCACATAAGAAGCTCTCCACCCTAACTAGAGGTGAGGTTTAAATTTTATAGTTTATCCTTTCTTTTTATGTTGGTTATTGAATATTGGAGTATGTAGAAGTTTAAGGAAAGATTAAATGAGGTTAAAACTATGAAATGGAGGAAATGATGGGGATTTTAGAAAATGGGTTTGGAAATGAAATGTTAGTATATTGGTGTTTATTGATGATTATTAGTAGTTTTGACTTGTCAATGTAGTAAATAAGAGTTTAGAAGCATTGGTTGAGTTTAAATTCAAGTTAGGAATTTTGGCGTGATTCTTAGAATCCAATGATCTTGAGGGGTACTATATGTTTTAAGTATTAAAATGAAGGAATGTTAGTAGGGATAGTTAAAAAAGAGTTTGATAGTATTCTATGGGGTAAATATAACTAAATTTTCCCCCATTTATATAATCCTCGGGTTAAAAACTGGAAATCTGGGCA